GCTATTGTTTATTTTACCCTCGCGGTGACAGAAAGTAAAATTTAAATAGTCAACTGAGTATGACTATGAAAAAGTTTGGTTCTCGTCATCATCTACATTACAAATTAAAGTCTCTCGACTTTCAACTCTCTAATCGTTGTTTGGAATTGTCTTGGAACACTGGGTGCTTACCATTTGCAAAAACCATCCGGTTGGAAATTTCAGGCATAAATATTAAACAATTGAATGCGATGTTGCGGGAGAAGGAATCGCTATAAAGTATATCCACATCAGCTAGAGAGACTTAAAAGAGCAGAAAAATAGCATCATCTCAAATCACAGCCCATTTTTTCTAAAGCTTCCCAAACGGAATGGTGCAAACCATTTGATTTTTTAACTGGAATTTCCGGTTTTCCCATGTAAATGGTAAGTACCCACTGTCTCTTGTGTGTGGAATGTTACACAGAATATGAATTTCTAGCCAATCGTAGCGCTCGCAGACTCTAGTCTCTTTACCAGTGGTGGTATTTTTGTTATTCTTCAGTGCGATACAGATGAAATTCATACTTGCTGTTTCACTCCCAATGGCTCGGTATTCGCGTCTGGACCAGCAGAAGCCGAAACAACTATTTGTATTTATTAAATATAATGACGATATTGGCCAATCTAAGTCTGGCTTAAGCCAACCTTAACACTTAATGACCGCCAGCTAAAGAGAACAGGAGGAGGTATCTTTGATAGCAGTTTTAGGCCACTAAGTAGTAATGAGTTAATCATTGTTTATGACTGATTTTGGATAGTTCACTTCTTGAAAAAGTTATACTCACAAATGATACCACATCCTACATTCAACCAAACATCGAGCACAAAACTAAATCCGCAATTTTTTCCTTCTCTGAACCGTTTTCATAACTGTAATAGCTCCAGTTTTGTATGGTTAACTTAGACATGTAATTTACAAAGAACGTAGGCACAAGCAAGATCAAAATGTTTTGTACAATACAACAAAAAGATTTATTTAAAACCTGCACAGGTACGTTGCTGGTAAATAATTTATGTACAACATCACTCTTACTGTAGATACATTTACAATGTCGTAATTGATAAACAAATAAATAAAGTTAAGGAAATATTTACAATAATGGCAAATGAGCCTTCTGATTGCTTTCCTCCAGTCAGTGCTAGTGGAGGAATTCAATATTTGGGAGCTTGAGCTGAAGCCTAGCCACTTACTAGTCACGTGATAACTCGTGTTTCATTCCTCACAACTCGGCTTAGAGCAGTTTTCAACCGAGTGTCGTAAAACCAAAACCAAAGTAGTCGCTCAAGCCAATCACAAAGGACACAGACAATACAGTGAGCCAATCAAAACTCGAAGAAATTACACGTAGCTGACGCTAAGCGTGGGAAAACGTGTGCGAACGAGTCACGATTGGCTTTGATTTAACTTCTGATTGGATAAAAAATTGGCGCGAGTTTTTTAAGCCAATCGCGTAGCGTAGTCAGTGGAAAACCAATTAATTTTCGACTCTCAAACAAAAACCGCTCTAAAGTCAAGACAAGTGTCGCCTGATGCCAGTATTCTATTTACACTGCGTTTCGAAATCCTCGAGTAATGAAAAACCCAAAGTATGAACAGGAAAGACTTGAAATCGTCCTATAAATTCTAGTCAACAGAAGCTATGCAAGTTATTCAACAATCCATCCTAGCTCCATTGCAAGGGGAATTAAGTGGTCATAAGAAACTGTTTCTAAGAAAGCCTAGACAAGTTAGCACTGTCTGAATGTCACTACGTGATCAGGGCACCCCAAAAAATAAAACGACAAATAACACTTTCGGGCATTACTGGCAGAACTGTATCTGTCTGCACTCTTAAGGAAGCATGTATAAGGTTCCGCTTCCCGGCAAAGACTTAAAACACTCCGAGTCGGGAAGAAGGTCATTTTAACTAACACTTAGAAAATGGCGGGTCTTGTAGGAACACCCGTAGTGAGCAGGGAAGGGGGAAAGGTGTAATACATTACACGTGCAAAAGAGCATCAATAACAATATTTCTGTAGTACAGCAGCCTTTGAAAGAAGAAATATTTTGCAAGCCAACAAAGCATATCTCCCAGGAAATTTAAAAGCAGGCTCTTATTCCCAGGCAACAAACATTCTTGCGGGAAACCTACTTTGCGGATTGCCTTCGTTAGGTGCTCTGTATTGTACTTTAGGTCAATCTAACGAATAATATGCGACTCCTCCTTTCGCTTGAAGCAATCACTTAGCAACCTGATTCATTCGACCGTTACTTAAAATTGATCATTGCTCACATCTTCGTAAGCCAAATTTCCTTGAAAGAAACTGCCTCCTTGAGTGGTGGTATTCAAGGTTTTAATCACCACGGGATCAAACGAGAAAGCCACAGAAGCAGACGAGTGGGACCGGGTGCTGGGAGTGCCACTGCCTGGGGTATCTGGGAAGACAAAACTCCGATCATCAACAGGAGTGTTAATGTTTGAGAGTCCACTCTCAGTGTCGGCGTAGTAGCTGTTAGTTGGGCTCAGCTGACTGTAGACTGAAGGCTTGTGCATCATGGAGCGCAGCTCCTCCTCGCATAGTTCCAGGAGCTCGTGTACCGGCGGAAAGGTGGGAGGCATGAAACCAAAAGAGAACTTGGGGTCGTGCATAGAGGGCGAGACAGGCGCACTAGCCACCTTACGTATGCCCAGGAACGACCTGGGATCGAGTGATGATGACTGATTGAAGGTGTCCATTTGTTGCGCAGCACTGAAAGTGGGAAGCCCTGTGACGAAATCAAGATTTCAACTTCAGCTAATGATCAAGATTTCGACCAAAAGATGAACATAAGTTAAGTAGATTGGGGGAACGTCAAACGTTTAGGATAGGTCCAAGGCAGACCATCCACTAACTTGAGCCAGCTTGGCCCAAAATGCCGGAGCAGGGCCTTACCGCGACCGAGCGACTAGAAGCATGTTATACCATCCAAAGAAATGGCAGATCAAGGGTATTTAAAAGGTTATAGCATAACTTCAAAAAGGCATTACCCAAAAGACATTTACTTTGTATAAAATATAATGTTCCAGTTTTGTTAAAAATTACTTAATGCGTGTATTGAAGCTATAAAAATAGCGGTGAGTGGTTGTGATGTCAAATTGAAAACATCTGGCAGACTTTTTCGCATTCTGTGGCTGCGTCTTAAATAAATTGCTAAAAATCAATTCATCAATTCGCTAATATCCTCATTTTGAAGTGCTAATAGGAAAGTTTGGCGTGCAAGTAAAGGTACTCAGTCATAACTTGGCACTGCTTTGCGCTTTGTCCAAAGATGAGGCAAATCTGCCGTGATAGTGTCACTTTATTAATATTGAAAAGACATGATTGACCATCGCAATCCACCGTAGGAAAAAAATGGCGGCTGTACATTTGACCACAATACCTTGGTAACCTAACACAGCCTACAAGGTACAAAGAAAGCCAATATTTTACAATATTTGTCCCTGTACGAAGGACATTTTGTATGCTTGGTTTGAAGATTTTATAACTCTTCTGTACGTTTTTATGAACGTTGTTAAGGTTTTCGTGCGCTAAGAACTATGGGTAAATGTACCAGTCGCCATCTTTTTTCCTACGGAGGATTACACACACAACTTAGGCAGTTGTGAAATTAAAGCCTGAAAAAAATTCTGGCTGAATTGACTTTTTTTTTTTTCACGCTTTAATTTCACAACTGCCTAAGTTGTGTGCATAGCTGCGATGATCAGTCATGTCGTCATGTCTTTCTGCGCAGTTCAAATGTATGATATTTCATTTATTCACTTGTATGAATGATGAAAAGTGAGCAAGTTTACAAAAGTAACACGCCCTTCACCTGAATAACTTAACGCGTCATCCTCAGAGCAGATCTTGTCGGAAACTTGAATCCCTGGAGAAGACGTAGCAGCAATTGCGGAGGACAAATCCAGGGACAGGCAACGCCTTTTAGCGAGTTTTTTCAAGTGGTTTGTCCAGGGATTCTTACCCTTCTCAGACAGGCGTCTCTCCTTTGCGCGACGATTCTGGAACCAGACTTGGACCACACGCATATCGAGCCCAGTCATTTTGGAGATTTTGAGGCGCTCGGCCAAGTCAGGTCGAGGGGTGGTGAGGTATACTGATTTCAGTATTTTAAGTTGTTGAGCTGTGATAAACGTGCGCGCTCGCTTGCCTTTGATTGAAGTCGATTCATTAGGAGATGAAGGGTTGGAGTCACCTGAAATGGTTGTATTCAAGAGTTTGATTGAAAATACCTAAATCAGCATAACCAACGCATACATGAAAAATGTAATGTTGTTCTGGTGGAAAGTGATTGCAAGAAAATTACAACACTTGTTTGAAAGTTGTACGTTCAATGTAATTTCCGTTTTACTTAAAATATAACCCGATGGAATCACACCTACACCACTAAACGCTGAAGCCTAACACCATCGCAAATAAAAAAATTAAAGCAAACGTAAAACTGCACAAGTTGTTAGGGCTTAACCAGTTTTGCTCCTTAAGGATCCGGCAAATTTCGTCGGACTTTTCTCAGTCAATTCTCTGAGTCAATAATGCACTTATTCAATATTTTTCCAAACCCCATTCAGACAAACTGGCTGCATTTGAATAATAGGATTCTGTGGTAACCAAACTCTTCTACATTCAGACCAAAATCGTACAGATGCTATTGTAGCCTACGTTCCTTTAATTTTCCACCCCTTAACTTTCAGTTGCATGAATTGCGTCGATGCACGGGAAAAAAGTAATCATTTCAATCAATTTGGTGTATAAATATAACCTTGAAGTATTGTGTCAATTTACTAAAAACGACAAACAACTAATAACGCATATTCAAGACTCTAGGCTCTCCATAATGGTTCGATTTATACTACGGATTACCTAGACTACGAGTAGTCCCTCTTTCGCCTCGTGCGGCCATTTTTTCTCGCGGTTTTCTTTCGCGTCACGCTCGACGGACTAAGCGAAAGAGGGACTACTCGTAGTCTACGGATTACCCGTCATGACGAATCATTCGTCTTGTAAGTAAGCTAAAGACGGAGCATCTGTCCGAGACAAACCTGAGCAAAGGATGGTGAGTCGTCTGATAATTTTTGTGGGTATAAATACGATATAAATACGGGAAAACATACGGATCATCCATCCGAAGGAATTATCCTCGATATAATTCGTCTGACAAGACGAGCTACTCACTGTATTGTGGTATTTTGTCTGGACGGTTGATCCGTATGCTTGACCTTATTTATGCACAGTCGAACCGCTTGCGGTTCCAGCCTCTGTCTCTGGAAAAAAAGGCTCGCACTCCCGGGGAGGACTTTCGGAAACCGGACCCGATAAAGTAGCGGAAATCGAGGTCGCGAAATTTTCTGTCTGAAATTGGGGAAAGAAAAGAAAAAGGCGAAACGTGACTTCCGATTAACAGATTTCAGGATACATAGCAGTTTTTCAGGTGTTCCCTAATTGCTCTTCTTCCACCTTTGTCCTTTCATTCTGTTAAGCATTTCTGAACACTAATGATCTCTTTTGTTTCTCAGCGGTGTTTGCACCCGTGCTTTGCAGCTTTCATTGTCGTTTCTTGGATCTGAATTTTAGCAACTGTCTCTAATTTCCCCAAGCTAAAAAAAAAACAAAGAAAACGCTAGATGTTTAAAACTGTTCCGTTTTGATTTGAGAGGAACACAAGATCTTGAAATAATTTCCTGGACGTGTATTTCACGGGGTAAATGCTAAAAAGAAACTATGAATGCGAACAGACAGTTTAAAACAAAGAAGCAGGTTGATCGTTAGGACTAAATTTCTTACAAGCATCGCCGCTTCGCTTTCACGCCATAGAATTTTTTGGAGCAAAACTAAACGCAGTATAATGAAACGAGAGCCACACGCAGAACATAGTGTACTCATTTAAACGAATTCATTTACTGAAAGAAATATAGAAATAAATATTTCCTCAGCCCGTCAGTTAAGTCCGCTTTTTCACGCAACCGTTTGCTATAAACATGATTTATTATACAAAAAAATTAAATATTGTATCAATTTACTACTAAGTCTACCTGAATATTTGCTTTCGTCAAGGTCCTGTTTGCAAATAATTCTTCCGTCTTCTAACAGATAAAACAGATCACCAGTGGAAAGCTGCCTCTTGCACGTCACGCAGGTAAAGCAGGTGATGTGGTACACTTTGTCGGCAATTTTGCGTACGCTCTGGTGAGGGGAGACACCTTCATGGCAAATCGAGCATCTCTTACCGTACCGCCTGGAAATAACAGACAGAAATTGCTGTAATTTTAGTTGCTGAAAATGATGCATCACTACTTCAGTATTGGCGAAAACGTTGCTGCAATTCAATATTAAAAGTGCTATACGGTTATGTTCGCCTGGCCTCCAGGTGTCTCTGAACGGCCCCACGGTTGAGAGTGAAAAATATTAATGACAATTGTACCAGACAAGCAGTATTGTGTGGGCTTGTTTCTGGCTTGGAGGCCAAAGATTTTTTTTTCCACTTTCTTTGATTATTCTTTTGATTATTTCTTGACTATTAAATTGCGGCCGGGGAGATCTTACTTAGTTTCATTTGATTATTTGACTGAGCTAAATGTCAGCGAAAGTATTTTTAAAATGAAAAGTGGGGCAGATGCAAATGGCTGTAATGTAATTGTCTAGTTAAAGAACCGACAAGAAGAAAAACCGTAACTATATCTGGAGTCTCGCATAATCTCAGCTGACTACAAGGCTGAAACATCTCGTATAACCAGTTGCAAATGTATATTGATTTATCGTCAAATTGATCATCGAGAACAAGATAAAACAACTAGAGAGAAAGAGCAGCAACAATATTCTTATTAAATGTGAATCTAAAGAGATCAAGATAAATCAGCTGCCTGTGGCAGGTGATTGTGTCATAGTAACCAAGTTTTATCGCCAAAACATTTTTTCAGATCTATACGATTTCAATATTACGTGCTGTATTAAAGGAGCTGCAGAGGATATGCTTCATTCATTCGAAAAATGGATCTGTTAATTACATTAAATACTGTCTCGAGAAAACAGCAAAGCTTTGCATGGAATCTAATAAATATTCCAGTGGAATGGACCGAAAAAAATACGCCTTGGAACTAGACATAATATTTAAGTACATTACAAACCAGTTCATTATGGTTGTCAATTTATTGTCGTCTTTGTTCCTTGTATTTTCGTACTTACCATGTGCACATTTCAAAACAGTATACAAACAGTATATCGTTGTCTAAATCAGTGTAAACAACATCGTATTGTCCAAAAAATTGTACCTAAGAAAAAAAGTTCACATAAAAGTGGAAACAAAACGGAAAGGTTTGATTACTCGACTTTTAGTCCCAATAATAAGCACATTACTTTTCTTGCAGCTAGTTTACAATTTTAAGAGCCAAGTCATTGAAAATAATTGCTGTATACAACCGATTTTATGCATTTTATGATAAGCAATCTAAGAGATGTCTCGAGGGTTTCATTATAACTTAATTAGGTAACTTTCTCTATCAAATGAAATTTAAAACCTTGAATTTAATTCTAATTTAATTACTGTATCATTAAATACCTTCGTTTAGGGAAACGACGCTAGACCGCGATACAAAGTCATGGTTAGTTCGTTTGCAAATACAGTGTTATAGAATGGACAATCTGTTGAATTTAGAGCTCGAGAGCTCAAGTCCTTTTATCAGGAGCATTCAGAAATTCAAAGAAGTGCACCATTAAATAACTTCGTTTAGATTAACAACGCTAGACCGCAATACCAAATTATGATCTCGGTGCCAGCCATAAAACGTTCTACAAAATAGCAAAGTCTCCCCCTCCGAATAATTCAAAATTCAAAGAGCCGCACTGTAAGCTAGAGCCTTTGATAATTAATATTCGAAGTAAATTATTGCTCACCGGAAAAAATCAATCTTGCAGAGTATGTTCCCCTCGCGAAAGAAACACTTTCCTTCGTCGAGTGTCTCCCTGCAGTCGCAGCAACGCAAGCAATACACATGCCAGAGTTTGTCCAGTGCCTGGAGGAGGTACTTGTCCCTAATGTCTTCATTACAACCGCCGCACTTTGAGTAGAAACAGTTATCTGTACCTGTGGAAGAAAAACGGATCATGCAGTTCAAATCATTGATGCAGGTGGGTACCTTTGCAAATACACCCAAATTATGCACGTTACAGCGTGGACAATCTATTGAAATACTGAAAATGGCGAGGGCTCAAGCCCTTTCATCAGGAGCATTCAGAAAATCAAAATGAAGAAGAAAAAGAAAAAAAAACCATTGCCCGCCCCCTATCCCTTTCTTGTCCCCCTTAATTATCGTGTGTCTGAATGAGGTAGCGCGATTTGATTTCAAAGTTAACCGGCAGAGCTTTTTAAAAGCAAATAACTGGCACATAAAGTTTCTTCATGGAGAAGATAGATTCCAGACCAAAAAAGATGGTTCGCTTTCAGTTTTTCCAAACGCTTAGTTAATATTCTATCCTAACTAAATGAACTAATAAAGAACATCGTTAGACTTTTGCCTGTCCTAATCCAGGGCAGCCACTGTTGCTAAAGGCAAAAGGTTTAAAAATCAGCAACAGATTGTTTTTCGTGTGTAGCGAACCAAAAACTGTCGGAAACTTCGCCATCAAAGATGTGTATCACGAACGAGCCTGGTATCCATGCTTATGCGAGGAGACAATTTCAGTTACTCGTCGCGCCTTCGTTCAAAGTCTAATCAAATTAGCCCGTAACATGCTGAAAAAAAAAAAAATCATGTTACAGTCGACTGCGAATCGGCGTCTTGGTCGAACTTAGTTATCAGTCATGGCATGGTGATGTTGTTGAAAGACGTATAAATTGCCTTTCAGAGTACTTGCCGACGCCTATTCGGGAATTTTTTTATTCAAAATATTTGTCAGTGTTTTCAAATGCTATCCAAATCGAAAATTATTTCATATTTTATAGGTTTGCTCTGCATGGGAGTATATGGTTTCAAAATAAAACTATTCGATCGCTAGAGCAAACTAGAATTGGTTGCAGGAATAGTAGCCTCTACTTGAGTGGGAACTGCACAAATTATAAAACGACATGGAATGGGAAAAATCCATATTACATACTTGTTTTGTTTTCAGCCATCGCCAGATTGAATTTGCAGTTCTTTCCACAGACGCTCGAAATATCCTTTGGATCCAACTCGAAAGCAAGAGACTAGATAATATTTACAGGAGACAATGAATAATACGTCATGGTCAGTAATTAGGGTTAATGAGAGCTTTGCGGATGTGCGTACAAAACATTTTCGCTGCCTTTCATCCTAGCTCATTGGGAATTAGGGCTCCTGTAAGTCATGTGACCCACCAGTTTTTGCTAATGGCGAAAATAGTCAAGAAATGTGAAGATAAGAAAAATTTATAAGAACTTTTCACTGAGTGTTGTTACTTTCTGAAAATTTGCCAGTTATCGCAATTAAAGTCGATAGCTCCATTGGCGATGCCCTTTTTTGTTTTGTTTTTTGTTTTTTTTCTCGGCTTGTCCTTGTTTTGATGATGTTCGGACAGTCGTAAAGAACCCTGAATATTTTTAAGGTTCCCTGAACGTATGTAATTAATCCTAACTTGCGTCTATAGCACCTTAGTGCAAATGCGATAATTTTAACGGACGCATGCACCTTCAATCAACCTTTGAAAGTGACTGCACAACCACTGAAAAGTTTGGTCTGTGACCAAAACTAATCTGATGGCAATTAGAATTGCAATTAGAATTCCAGCCAAACCTTCCATTTTGGGACAATGAATAAACCCATCTTGTTCGGCAATAATCCGGTTAAAAACGTCCTCTCCGCGTTTTTTTTTTTTTTTTNTAAACCGAAACTGTAAATGATATTTTTTTTTGTTGTTGCCATAGTCAATTGCCCTAAATGCCTATCACCAGCAGCTGCTGCAGTGAGAATATTTTCCAACTCAACAGTTTGACGATAGCCCGTAGACTCAGAGGGCCTGAAAGGATGTAAATTCAGTATGCGTTATCATCACACAGAAACTTGTAGGTTTTAGGCGTTTTCTATCAATTTGGGATATACAATACATGCTAGTTATGCAACGTTTTCGAGTGGTATCCCACAACTCGTTTGTATTTTCTCAGTATGCACACGATATTCAATGTGATACCACGCTCGCTCTGATTGGTCAATAGAGTTGCAAAGCCTATGTTCTTTTCTCGTGTTCTCTCAACACCCCGCGTGGTTTATTGCGCCGGTAAACCTATAGAAAGAGTGTTCTATCGCTTAAATATACAACGGCTTTCCTGTATTCTGATTGGCTGTATTTTTTTTTATGGCATGGTATAAATTATGTTATTCTGTGATTTTGGTGACCTGGTTAAAATGTTTAGTAAATTTGGTAGTTTTATTACTTTATGCTGGAAAATTACGCACCCTTTCCTGGCTGCAGTCTTGTAAATACTGGTAAATATACTGACTAGTTTAAAGCATCTGAGCACGTGTTTATACGAACAACGGACTTGATCGTTTTTGAAGGAGAATCTTAATTCTCCCAAATACTAGGCTCTGAGAAAAAAAAAATCGTAGAAAGGCAAGAAGACTTTGCATGTTGGCTTGAGGACGCTCAAATTAACTGGGTGGCGTTGACGCTTGCAAACACAAGAGTGCCACTTACAATCATTCTAAAAACACAAACATGTAAAAAAAAAAAAAAATACCGTTTTGGTTCCAGAATTTCTAATATCAAGGTCGGCCACTCTCTAAATTACTGCAGCAGCTGTTTTTTTCTTCCTTTTATTTTTGACGGCCATTGTGAAGACGCTGTGGATAATACAACAGGTCAGGGAAAGTGCGCACTACGTGGGTGATGTGAATAACCTAATCACTGGCCTGTTCAGTTGACGCGATCGCCATCGATTCTACCATGCAACCACAATCTTATGTTATTTTGCAAAAAAAAAAAAAAAATGATTGTTATTATTTCGTCAAATTAACATTGTAGTCGAAGTAAAACTCGGATGAAACAGGATATAAGCTATATTTTTTTTATCTACTTTCCCTTGATAACTGATACGCTCTTTAAATAAGCTACCTACATTAGGCGCATATTCAAAAGTTAAGCCTACAGATTTGCGGTTCGTGGACCTTCTCAGTCTCTCCCATTCTCGTGTCATGACTTGTTGCTTTTGAGATTATCATAACTTCACTAGGCATTAGTCGGCAAAATAAACAGCTTTGAGGTAAGGTACTTAACCCAATTTATCCTTGGGACCCGTGGAGGGTCTACCAACGCTGATTTCAAATGTTTTCTCGGAAAAACAGCATTCAAGCTGTAATTCTCAAACTTTGTGACTTGTTTATTTCTAAAAATATCATGAAACGTTTAGGTATGCCAATTAATTGGCACTTGTCTTGACTTCCCTACGCCAACCATTTTTCAAATGTTGTTTCATCCTGTTTTAGTTGGAATTTCAATTTAATTACGATTTTATCCCAATTCTTTGCATTTCTTGCATCCTTAGATTTTTTCTGATATTTTAGAGATATTCTGACTTATTTCAAAATTTTAAAATCAGTGATGGTGGATCCAAGATCGCAGACAATTAAAATATGAGGTTATTTTAGCGTTCCGCAACGTCATGACTGACACGTGGTTATCACATGGCTATCGAATGCTTAATCATAAAGCATTCGATAGATACAACAAAAAGCTATAAATACTTTTGGAGACACATGAAGATGGAGGAAGGGAAGGTGGGGGAAGGGCACAAATTAAAATGCCTAACTTAAGGCTCTCGAATGATAAAACCCTCCATAAGTTGTAATTTTAATCTTCCACCTCTCATCTCTTTACAGAACGTTCCTACTAACTGAATAAAAAAACAAGCGAAAAAAACGGTCCGCGAAAAGGGCGAGAAGTTATTTCTTTTGCCTGAGTTTTAAGCCCCACCTCCGCCCCATTCTTTGTAAAGTTCTAATAAGCTCAGCGGGGCTCCTGGACTTAAAAGTGGGATTTTATGGTATTTACTATAATTGGATAAGCAAAAAATAATTCAATGACGTGACAATGCCACGAAGTTAATTCTTTGCATGGGTATTAAGTGTCTTTCTTAATATGCCTGTTTAGCTGCATCTCGGCCCCCAGTTCGCGATGATTTATTTTCTACGAACTAAAAGATCTCGTCCATCCTGGAGATTTCCTTGGCTGGGGTAGGTACAAACCGTTAAAAAAAGTCTTAAGTACTAAATTTCTGGAAAGAGCTATACCTATGAAAAAGAGCATGAAAAGGAATTATCAACTGTAGTTTTGGAAAAGGTTAAAAAGGCCATTTCAAAGCCACGATAGAAGTTGCACGTGCAAGAAAGCGATTTAAGAAACTTTGCGCCGTATTGGAAGTCTGTTTGACATGAAATGATTATCAAGAATTTGTATGTGGTGATTACAAGAGCAGCAATTTGTTAGCCTCAGCATGATCAAACTGAGTTGCTGAGACGTTGGTTCTAATCCGGTTTACTTCTTAACATTCTTCGTCTCCCACCAATGCAGCATCGATTGCAGCATAACTTGAGTAAACGGACCCGTTAGTTTAATTAAACAATTTTCTTTGTTGACTTCGAACGCAGCCTCTGCCTTACTAACAGGATGAGAGATAAGCTTTGTTATATATAGCCCGTGTAGCACGCGGGATTCGCGAGCAAGTGATTTCCGTTGTTGTATTTCCGCGAGGAAACAGAATTTTATTTGCGCGAGAAAATGAAATGCGCGAGAGTGAATTAGCCTGTATTGATGGGATTCGCAGGCAATTCATTTTTGGTAGCGAATACGTCATTATATTTCCGCACGGAAATAAAAACTGAGTTATATCGTGGAGAAATTCGTGAGCGGCGAAGCCGACTCCTCACAAATCCCCTCACGGCTTCCCTGCTCGCGTTCCCGGCGTCTCCACCGCCGCGACAAAAACACTCACGTGGGAAATCCCTCCAGCTACGCGGGCTAATTGTATTGAAGTTTCTTAAAATTACAAAAAAATTACAAGTATCAAAAATTACAAGTATTTTCAACGTTGAGTTTATCATTTCGACTGTGAACAACAGTACCAGTCGCTGTCCTAGCCCTAGATTTCCGTCGAAGTTGCTATAAAGTTGCTCTGGTGGCTGTTCTCGGAGTACTCGTGAGTGTTTGCACAAATTCGTACTTGTTTCTGATTGCATTGGATAACAAGAAGGGAAATCTCTTCGATTAGGAAAATAAACAGGCTGAACGGGACTGATCCGCGTTTTAGATATGCGTTCTAACGTAGCTAAGCGTTTCGTTACGTCATTCTTGTCACTTAGTAAGATATGATGTCAGGCTGCAGCTATGTAGTAATGTCCTGAAACGCTATAAAGGAAACTACCACTATCGTTGCGAAATTGCCTTCACAAGAGAACTGCAAGAGATCAAAATCGCTAAATTCAGAGTAATCCTGACAGAGAGAGTTAGTAGGTAAAAGGTCATGTTAAGGGTCAATGTCTAGTTCTCGTGCCGCACGTGAGATAGATTATTTAGCAAAATCTCATTCCCCGTCCTGACTCCCCCAACTTTCAACAAAAGGGAAAAAAACAAAAACAAA